AACGGTGGTGGTGATGTGAAAAACTGATGGGAGCACCCAGATTGTTACAAATTCTAGGTTAAAACTGGTGGGTGTGTAGGTTACTGCCTCCCAGGGGGCTCGAGTCTGTGTCCTCAGCATCACCCTGCCTTGGAGCTGTGTCTCTCCCCGGATGTGTGTGTGAACGGAACTGGTTTAAACTGGGAATGTTTCTGGTGAGGAGCTGTGTGGGGGCAGAGGCAGGAGGGGCAGAAGACAACCCAAACGTGGGGAGAGAAACCACCCCTAACTCCACGGGCTGTGGTGGCTTCAGGCAGGGCTTTTGTTGTAGCTTTGGATTGTGACTCCTGTGGGCTCAGTGCAAACCAAGGGAGAAAAACCTACAAATCACCTGCGTCCACGACGTCCGAGGAATCTTTTCTTTCCTTGGATCAAAGTAAAAGTGGTATTTATTTTATTTTTGGTTCTTTTTGGACTGCTTCAAAGCCATGGGGGAAGGGAGGGGGAATCAGGGAAGCAGCAACCGAATGGATGTCTCATTTTGGAAATCATGTGAATGCTGCATCTTTCCAATCTGTCAATGCTTCCATATGGAAAACAAATGCAATAAAACTTTTCCAAAAACTTGTCCACTGCATTTATTTTCCCACTTTCCTTCACACGTTGGGAAGAATCTGTGGTGGCATGTTGAACTTTCCTTTTGTCCATGAGGAGGCAGAGGCATGGAAAGGTTGATGAGCTGAGAGCTGGACTTTTCAGGTTAAAAATGAGTTCATTTAAATTTCTGTCACCCACTGGGCATCCTGGAGGAGCATTCTGGGGATGTTCTTCTGGCTTTTTGTCTGTTGTGAACAAATGTGTAATTACCCTGATTTTCTTGTTCCCTGTTGTTAAGCCCTGGTGTGTAGTAATGACATTTTCAGCCAAAATGGTTTTGTTTTCAGTCACAGCTTGTGGAGTTGGTGTTGTGTGTGTCTGTAACCTGCACTCTGTGTCTCCTGTCCCCACGTTGGCAGGGTTGGACCTCTGGCCGAAATGGGGGTGTCTGATTTCTGTGTTTCTTTCCTCATTTCTTCTCTTTTCAGCACTTACTCAAAACCCTGTCGTTGGGAATAGTGAAAGGTGAGGATTTCTGAGCACTGTTTTGTTTTGAAGTCAAATAGCTGCACAGTGGGAAAGATAAACAGGCGCTGGTTTGATGGAGACACTAAAGTCTCACTTTCTAAAATAACAGTGAGAAATTTGGTTAAATATATATATTTTTTTAAAAAAAGCATTAAACAGCAATGAAAGGTCCTCAACAATTGTGCATTCTTTCCACTCCCCTTAATTACTTTTTTTTAAGGCAAACCTCTCCTGCCCTACTGACCATGGGGCAGGCAGCCAGAAAGAATTTGTAGAATCTGAAAGAGAATTTGTGCAACTTCTGCTCCTTTTCCATGCGTGCCCTGGAGGGATTAAGGAGGTCAGGCTGGGAGAGGGAAAGTGTGTCATTAACTCCTCCTTAATCTGGTGTTAGCACGACCTCCACCTGACCTCCCTTATCGCCTTGGTACCACTCAGAGCAAGCCAGAGGTGGATTTTTGGAGGAGGAAAGAGACAGTTTGCTGCTGGGAAGCCTCCAAGACCCTTCTTCCTAACCTGGATGGTGGCGTGGGTGGAAATGGGTCACGCACAGACTGACAGCTGAGACTCTTGGTGCCTGTTTCTCCTCCTGCCCCGTGTTCCCCTTCTCTCCAGAGGCTCGTGCAGCTGCAGCGTGCTGGGATGGAATGCCTGAGAGGAAAAGCACCTCGTGGGATGTTCCCTGGAAGAGCCGAGCCGGGTGTTTGGAAGCCCAGGAGCAGAGCAGAGCGGAGGGACGTGTGTGTGGCCACACGCAGCGTGCAAGATGTACCTTTGTCCTTCAGGGCTTGGGGGTTTCCCAAAATCGTGACCCTGGCCGTTTCTGCTGGGACATGGGGACATTCCTTCCTGGCTCTCTGTGGAGTCAGCACCAGGGACGAGGCGTGATGGGGGCTCCACCCCTGCCCTGGGCAGCCTGGCACGGCTCTGGACAACCCTTGTGGAGAAGTTGTTCCTCAGGACCAACCTCAGCCTCCCCTGGTGCAACTTGAGGCCGTTTCCTCTTGCCCTCCCTCTCCTGTTTGTGAGGTTACTGAGCTGAGCTGTGCCCTGTGTGCGAGGCTTTGCCGTGTTCTGTGGGGGGCTGTGGGAAGATTGCAGAATTAGGATGTGTCAAGCGTATTTTTCATCTTCTAAAACTGCTCTTTTAAATGGTTTTTGGCTGCTAAGAAGCCATCTCTTGACCATAAAATGAACAGTGACTGATACCAAGATAAGTCACCGAGGTGGTGCTGCCCAAGGGTTTGGGCTCGGTTTTGGGTTTTGTTGTTAACTTTGGAGGTGGAGCTCTGGGGACATCTGTCTTCATTGTGAACTAAACCTCGAGTAACGTCGTGGCTGTAGATGGGCAGTTTTGCACATGGTGCACTGGTTGGTGCCCAGACCCCTGCTGGAATCACGGACCAGAACGTTTCCTGGAACCACAGAAGGGTTTGGGTCAGAAAGGACCTTTTAGAGGTCATCTAGTCCCACCCCCGGAGGCGAGAAACGCTATAACCCCAAACCTCTTCTCTCCTTGCAGGGCATCGAGCGGCTGAAGAACCAGAAGCCGACGTGGGAGCTGGTCAGTGGCTGGGAGGGGATGAAGCTGGCCTTCGGCGGGGCCTTCTCCTTGGCCTGGTTCAGCCCCTTCTCGGCGCCGTGCGGCGCAGGC